CAACAGATAATCGGCGCTCACCAGGCTGGGGCGCCCTCTTCCCCCGTGAATGGGAAATAGGTTTACACATCTCCCATAAAATTCTTATCCCAGCGCCCCTTAGCAATGCTCCAGTGAGAAATATCGAGCGGGTCAGCCAGAGGTTCGAGGCCCGCACAGGAATATCAATAGTGGAAGGGAATTATGAGGGGGAAAAGCGGCAAGCCATTACGACTATTTAGCACTGGGAAGGGGTCAGGATTAGGATTTGGGATGGGCCGGGGTGAGGAGGAATGGAAACCACAAGGCGACCATTCCTCTTCCACTGTTAATGGAAAGGATAGGTTTACCAACTGGGGGCCCTCCTCTTCAGTAAACCCAAGATTGGTCCCCCTCCGCCTGGGGGCCACCCGTCGTCTGTGGACCAAAGAAGGGGTCCCCACCTGGGGGCCTCCCACTGGTGTAGAGGCCGTGGGGGGTGGCGTCCATCCTGTGGTCGGGTCTGTACCGCCGGGAGGAAGTAATTACGACCTTCCGGTCCCCGTGTTCCCGCCCCCCGGACACCGCTATTCTCCTGTGGCCGCCAGGGTTTTACATATTTAATTTTAATGTTTTTGCATACTCTCCTAGATGTATATATCTAGATACGTACGTGTGTGTGTGTGTGTGTGTGTGTGTGTGTGTGTGTGTGTGTGTGTGTGTGTGTGTGTGTGTGTGTCCATAAAATAAGTGGTTGACGAAAGCTCCTAAAACAAACCACTAAACGCAACAAGCGTGGCTTGACAGACAAATCCTCTAACATTACCCCAAAGTAACATTACCACAAATAACATTACTTTGCAATTGTGGGGACCCATGGACTCCAAAAAGAGAATGTAAGGCATTCAGAGAAGACCTGACATTATATGTTTACAACCCCTCTCTCACCTGGAGAGAAAATACATTTAGAATTCACTCTCACCACGCCTCAAACCATAACCCAAAACTAGTCTGGTTCTACCCTCGTCCTCACAAATACAACACACACCTTCCCAATCAACTCAAACAACATAATATAACAATACAATTTACAATCATATTTCCACAAACTATTCCTTGACTGAAAGGAAAAAAAAAAGAGTGCGTTTACAATCCATGTTTTTGTAATTACATTTTGTGACGTGAAATCCGATTCTCTGAGCGCTCGCCATAAACACACACGCCCCTTTTTCATCCCTCAAAAATGCGTACATCGGAAACTGAAAAAAAGGGGCCAAATGCAATTGAAAAAATATATATATATTTGAGGCCGATTAATCCACACGAAACCGATATTGGCCAGAGGAGGAACGTGGCTGATAACATAGGTGTAAGTTTACAAACACGCGCCCACACACACACACACACACACACACACACACACCAGCCTCTTCTGCCTGTAGAAATAGATCCCACCTGCTCATCATGGGGGACTTCAATCACGGAAGGATTGATTGGGAGAACAAGGAACCGCATGGAGGCGAGGATACGTGGAGAGCCAAACTACTGGAGGTGGCGACTAGAAACTTCTTAACCCAGCATGTCAGTGAACCCACAAGGATGAGAGGAAACGACGAACCAACGAGACTCGACCTGGTTTTCACCCTGAACGACTCTGACATAAGAGAAATCAGTTTTGAGGACCCAGTAGGAATGAGCGACCACAGTGTATTGGTGTTTGAGTACCTGATTGAAGAAGGGTTATTGAACTCGAGAAGGGATACCGAAACCAAAAGGTTAGCATACCGAAAGGGAAACTATGAGGAGATAAGAAAATGCCTAGCAGATATAGCATGGGAAACAGAGCTCAGGGAAAAGACGGCCCAAGATATGATGGAATACATCACGCAAAATTGCAAGGATGCAGCAAACAAGTTTGTCCCAGTCCAAAAGGAAAACAGTGAAATGAAGATGAGAAACCCATGGTTTAATCAGAGATGTAGGCTAGCTAAGCAGCAAAGTAAAAGGGCATGGAGAAACTATAGGAATAACAGGACACTGGAGAGCAGAGAAAGATACCAGAATGCCAGGAATGAATATGTTAGGATGAGAAGAGAGGCAGAAAGACAATACGAAAATGACATCGCAAGCAAGGCAAAGACTCAGCCTAAATTGCTGCATAGCCACATCAGGAGAAAAACAACAGTAAAGGAACAGATTATGAAATTAAGGTTAGGGGCAGAAGGATTCACTACAAACGACAAGGAAGTGTGTGAGGAACTGAATAAGAAATTCCAGGAGGTCTTCACCTTGGAGCAAGGAGAAATCCCAGAGATAAGAGAGGGAATAGCTAACCAGGAACCACTGGAAGAGTTTGAGATTACCAGCGGGGAAGTAAGGAAGTGTTTACTAGAATTGGATGTGACAAAGGCTAAGGAGCAGAAGAACTGTGCCTCCCGCTCTCCATGGTGTATAACAAATCACTGGCAACAGGGGAACTGCCAGAAATTTGGAAAGCAGCTAACGTAGTCCCGATATACAAGAAAGGGGATAGACAGGAGGCACTGAATTACAGACCAGTGTCCCTAACCTGCATACCATGCAAGTTGATGGAGAAGATTGTGCGAAGAAAGCTAGTGGAACATCTGGAGCGAAAGAACTTTGTAACACAGCATCAACATGGATTCTGGGATGGCAGGTCCTGCCTCACAGGGTTACTTGAATTCTACGACCAGGCAACAAAAATAAGGCAAGAAAGAGAAGGGTGGGCAGACTGCATATTTTTGGATTGTCAGAAAGCCTTTGACACAGTGCCACACAAGAGGCTAGTGAAAAAACTGGAGATGCAGGCTGGAGTGAAAGGGAAGGTACTCCGTTGGATACAGGAGTACCTAAGTAACAGGAGACAACGAGTCAGTGTGAGGGGTGAGGTCTCAGATTGGCGAGACGTTACGAGTGGAGCACCGCAGGGGTCAGTCCTTGGACCTATACTGTTTCTGATATATGTAAATGATCTTCCAGAGGGTATAGAATAGTTTCTCTCAATGTTTGCCGATGATGCAAAAATTATGAGGAGGATTGAAATTGAGGACGATAGTAGGAGGCTACAAGATGACCTAGATAGACTGAGTGAATGGTCCAACAAATGGCTGTTGAAGTTCAACCCGAGTAAATGCAAAGTAATGAAACTAGGTGGTGGAAATAGGAGGCCAAACACAGGATACAGAATAGGAGATGAAGTACTTAATGAAACGAACAGAGAGAAAGATCTAGGAGTTGATATCACACCAAACCTGTCTCCTGAAGCCCACATTAAAAGAATAACGTCTGCGGCATATGCGAGGCTGGCTAACATCAGAACAGCGTTCAGGAACCTGTGTAAGGAATCATTCAGAATCTTGTACACCTAAGAGGCATGAGTTACGAGGAAAGGCTGCGGGAAATGCACCTTACGACACTGGAAGACAGAAGAGTAAGGGGAGACATGATCACAACCTACAAGATCCTCAGAGGAATTGATAGGGTAGACAAAGATAAACTATTCAACACTGGTGGGACGCGAACAAGGGGACACAGGTGGAAACTGAGTACTCACATGAGCCACAGAGACGTTAGAAGGAACTTTTTTAGTGTCAGAGTGGTTGACAAATGGAATGCATTAGGCAGTGATGTGGTGGAGGCTGACTCCATACACAGTTTTAAATGTAGATATGATAGAGCCCAGTAGGCTCAGGAATCTGTACACCAGTTGATTGACAGTTGAGAGGCGGGACCAAAGAGCCAAAGCTCAACCCCCACAAGCACAAATAGATGAGTACAAATAGGTGAGTACACACACACACACACACACACACACACACACACACACACACACACACACACACACACACACACACACACACACACGTTAGAAGGAACTTTTTCAGTGTCAGAGTTGTTAACGGATGGAATGCATTAGGCAGTGATGTGGTGGAGGCAGACTCCATACACAGTTTTAAGTGCAGATCTGATAGAGCCCAATAGGCTCCGGAACCTGCACACCTGTTGATTGACAGTTGAGAAGCGGGACCAAAGAGCCGAAGCTCAACCCCCGCAAGTACAACTACGTGAGCACACTCACACACTCTTATAAAATACTCAGGGGAAATTGATTGAGTGGAAATAGAAGAAATGTTCACACTGAATACTAACAATATGGGTGGAAGAGATATTAGGAAGAATTCATATAGAGTAGTGACAAAATAGAATGAATTAAAGAAGCAGGTTTTGGAAGCCAAATCTGCTCATAATTTCAAAAGTGGATATGATAGGGCAATAGGACAGGCGCCATTGCTTTAGACAACGGATGGTTACAAAGGCGGGGTCCAAGAGCTTATGCTTGATCCTGCAAATTAGAAAATATTCCTCTTTGTATGCACAGACTTCCCGTTTTCTTTGTCCATGCATGCGGTCAGCTTCCAGGTTTGGACACCAGGGGGACGATCCTCATCAGAGTGTTTTTTATATATCAATTAAAAACTTTCGCGCCAAATTAGACTATAAATGAAAGTTTATGCTAAAAGTTTTCATACTTTGTTTTCTGTGATGTGCGCATGTTAAACTAGTTTTAGTGGTTGGAAAAACAAGGTTTATGACGGTAATTGTGCCTTGTCAGCTTCCCTGCCCCCCCCCCCCCACACACACAGGAATGGAAACAGCTTTGGGAGTGTAGACCTCAGGGCCCAGGTTCGATTGCTGGTCGTGGCAGAAACAAATAGGCCTAGTTTCTGACACCTGAAGATAATAACAGGTTAAACGCCTCGTTAGTTGGGCCGACGTCACACTTAGGTACTTAGATTACTTCAATTGTGGCCGTTGAACGTGGTAGACATGTACACCAGGCCCCATGTACACCTGGCCCCATGTACACCTGGCCCCATGTACACCTGACCCCATGTACACCTGGCCCCATGTACACCTGGCCTCATGTACACCTACCCCTCATGTACACCTGGCCCCATGTACACTTGGCCCCATGTACACCTGGCCCCATGTACACCTGGCCCCATGTACACCTGGCCCCCATGAAGGATGTAACCTCCAATCAACGTACACAGGTGTGACGTCGACCAAGCTGACGAGGCGTTTGACCTGTAAACAGATAGGCGTCATAATAATAATAATAATAATAATAATAATAATAATATAATAATAATAATAATAATAATATCAGATATTAGATATTATAGAAGAAGAAGAATGGAAATAATCGCATCAAAACACTATTGTGTGGGGGTCAAAATAATGCTAAAAAAAAAAAATGGTCGCTTGGTGGGGTAGCAGAGAGGCAGATAATCCAATAATAATGCAATTGACACTCGCCTCTGCGACCTGGAGTGTGTTCCAGCGGCCACACCAAATCTGATTGGGGCGATTCGCCTATTCCGAGAGTCAGCTGATTGATAGAACAGGTGGTGGAGAATCAACTTTGATCTTGCTTGATTAGCCGCCCGGGTCGATAGGAGGGGATGTACGTATATGGTAGAGGTTGTGTGTGTGTGTCTGTGGGGCGCTTGAGTGCGTGTGTCTGTGGGGCGCTTGAGTGCGTGTGTCTGTGGGGCGCTTGAGTGCGTGTGTCTGTGGGGCACTTGAGTGCGTGTGTCTGTGGGGCACTTGTGTGCGTGTGTATGTGCGATTGAGTGTGTGTGTCTGTGGGGCGCTTGAGTGCGTGTGTCTGTGGGGCGCTTGAGTGCGTGTGTCTGTGGGGCGCTTGAGTGCGTGTGTCTGTGGGGCGCTTGAGTGCGTGTGCTCGTGTCTGTAAGCGTTACAGCAACACCTTATCCTTAGAGTACTTCCTTGAAGCCTCAAAGAAAGCCTCAGAGAGTACTCAGAAGCCAAGGAAAGCTTCAGAGAGTACTCAGAAGCCAAGGAAAGCTTCAGAGAGTACTCAGAAGCCAAGGAAAGCTTCAGAGAGTACTCAGAAGACAAGCAAAGCCTCAGAGAGTACTCAGCCTCAGAAGTACCAAGCAAAGCAGAGAGTACTCAGAGAGTACTCACAAGCCAAGGAAAGCTTCAGAGAGTACTCAGAAGCCAAGCAAAGCTTCAAAGCTTCAGAGAGTACTCAGAAGCCAAGCTTCAAAGCCTCAGAGAGTACTCAGAAGCCAAGCAAAGCTTCAGAGAGTACTACTCAGAAGCCAAGGAAAGCTTCAGAGAGTACTCAGAAGTACTCAAGCCAAGCAAAGCTTCAGAGAGTACTCAGAAGCCAAGGAAAGCTTCAGAGAGTACTCAAGCAAAGCTTCAGAGAGTACTCAGAAGCCAAGAAGCAAAGCTTCAGAGATTAAGAAGTACTCACAAGCCAAGGAACGAACTGAAGATTATATCATTAATACCTGGAGAAAAGTTTGAGTATACCTTAAGTATAACTGGAGTGTCCCTTGAGTATACCTGGAGTGGGTTCTGACAGTTCCTTTACTCTCCAAGCCCAGGCTGGGGGCCAGGGTATGCTTGTGGGGAGCTTGATCACACAGACTGTTGCTTCCAGCGAACTGGAAAATTATGCACAAAATATATATTGGATATCAATTTAAGCGAAAGAGGAGTAAAGTGAGGTAATTATGAGGAGAGAGGTAAGGTGAAGTAATTATGAGAAGGCAAGGTGAGGTAATTATGAGGTGAAAGGTAAGGTGAGGTAATTATGAGAAGGTAAGATGAGGTAATTATGAGGAGAAAGTACTTAGCATTATGAGTTTATAAGACTTTGAAGGGATATGAGGACAAGATGCTGGGATATGAGGACAAGGAGCTGAGATATGAGGACAAGGTGCTGGGATATGAGGACAAGATGCTGGGATATGAGGGCAAGGAGCTGGGATATGAGGACAAGGAGCTGGGATATGAGGACAAGGAGCTGGGATATGAGGGCCAGGAGCTGGGATATGAGGACAAGGAGCTGGGATATGAGGACAAGGAGCTGGGATATGAGGACAAGGAGCTGGGATATGAGGACAAGGAGCTGGGATATGAGGACAAGGAGCTGGGATATGGGGACAAAGAGCTGGGAAATTAGGACAAGGAGCTGGGATATGAAGACAAGGAGCTGGGATATGGGGACAAGGAGCTGGCAAATTAGAACAAGGAGCTGGGATATGAGGCTAGAGTGAATGAACGGCACCCAACCACCATATGACCTTAGGGGATCGAACGCCGACCCTGCAATAATCGAAAGGGGCATAATCATTTTGGATTATAATTATTATACGAAATAATAATTTTAGCGTTGATTTTAATTCTCGCTTCCAAGCCAACTCAATTTCAGCCATTTCCAAATCTGCGATTTTTTCCCAGCGCGCTAATCTCTCATCTCTTAACATTCCAAACGATGTCTTTTTCGTCAAACTTTTTTTTTCCAATAATCGATAAAAGAGAATAAAAAAAGTCTTTGATACCCTGAGTTGGAGAGTGTTGCCACCCCGTGATCTTCATAATTACTAAATTATAGCAATTCTGCATTAGGTTACATTATATATAATTTAGATATTGATCAATTAGTGTCTAATAATCATGTCATTGAGTTCACCTACTCTTTTTTAAATTATTTGTGTATTTTTTTGTTAGATTATGGAGCAATTTTTGGGCTGGTGTTGCCATATTAGGGTCAAGGGCTGTTTTATATTCACTCTGACGTGAGTAATTATGACTCATTGATGTTCGTAAGTTGTTCTTTTTTATCATGTTTTCTGCACTTTTTTGTTGCTATTATAAAGCTGGAGTTTTGCTTTTGTTGTCGATGTTGCTCTTGTGACGTCAAAGTTATATTTGAGAATGAATAACTCTCTGTGTGTTGAATGAGTGTTTTGCATTTTTTTTCCATATCACTTGAATAAAGATGAATGAAAGTGGTTATATTTTGTGTTTATTATCGTGTGTGTGTGTGTGTGTACTCACCCACCCTGAAGCACTCATTACTATCTGATTCACCCTAATGCACCTGTTCACCTAGCAGGAAATAGGTACCCGGGGTAGTTAGACAACGGTTGTAGGGGTTGTACCCTTAAGGGGGGGGGGGGGCAGTGTAGTTCCACCTTTAGGGGGGGGGAGGGGGGCAAGTGTCGGGTGACCTCAATGCAAGCCTAAAGTATATATATACACAGGCTTCCTGTCCCCCAGAAAACGAGATTGTATTATTTGATGTACTGCAATGTCCTAACAAGTGATTATTTGATTGATTGATGAAGATTAAGCCAGCCACGAGGTGGCACGGGCATGAATAGCCCCGTAATCACCTCATTTCGTGTGTATAGAAATATGTATGTCGATAACATGTCTCCTTTGCTCCTTCCGTCCTCCAGTGGTGTGATGTGCTCTCTTTGCCAGCAGTCATCAAGCACTGAACTATCCACTAACGAAACCTGTACATCTTTCCTCAATCATGACGGCTCAGTTTACATTAATTAAACAGTTTACGAGCCCCGAAGCACTACGAGCTTGTTTATAATAATAATAACAACCCTGGTTTAATAACCCTACTTAACACAATAACTACCACTGCTATAGTAATAACAAGTCTAATATTTCTTCTAAAACAAAAATTAAATCAAATCAATTACAAGAAAAAAATTCAGATAGTAGTTTACCTAAATGATAATAAGAACATCAAATAATAATAATAATATTGATGAAATTTTCAAAAGACTGGAGCCAGACTTCGCTTGTAAACACAGCCTGTGGACACTGCTCGAATTATCAGCCTTTTGCTTTCAAAAAAATGACAAAAAACTAAAACAGAGACAAACAGACAAGCAGAGCATAATTTACGTTTAATGGGCACTCGCGGCGTGCCACACACACACACACACACACAAAACACACACACACAACACACACAAAACGTGTTGGTAATTGTTGGGAGAAAGTTGTGATTGGTAAACACACAAATGAGTTATGAATTCTCTCCTCAATTATCTCCCCAAAAAACTATTAAATTTCGTGTTGGTAATTGTTGGGAGAAAGTTGTAATTGGTATTATGACACGTGGTCATTGTATATATGTGGGCAGGTACATATTGGGCAGGTACATGATGGTATATATATGTGGGCAGGTACATATTGGGCAGGTACATGATGGTATATATATATGGGCAGGTACATGTTGGCAGGTACATGATGCATATATATGTGGGCAGGTACATGATGGTATATATATGTGGGCAGGTACATGATGTGGGCAGGTACATGTTGGGCAGGTACATGATGGTATATATATGTGGGCAGGTACATGTTGGGCAGGTACATGATGGTATATATATGTGGGCAGGTACATGTTGGGCAGGTACATGATGGTATATATATGTGGGCAGGTACATGATGGGCAGGTACATGATGGTATATATATGTGGGCAGGTACATGTTGGGCAGGTACATGATGGTATATATATGTGGGCAGGTACATGATGGTTGGGGCAGGTACATGATATATATATGGGCAGGTACATGGGCAGGTACATGATGGTATATATATGTGGGCAGGTACATGATGGTATATATATGTGGGCAGGTACATGTTGGGCAGGTACATGATAGTATGGGCAGGTACATGATGGTGGGCAGGTACATGATGGTATATATATGTGGGCAGGTACATGATAGTATATATATGTGGGCAGGTACATGATGGTATATATATGTGGGCAGGTACATGATGGTATATATATGTGGGCAGGTACATGATGGTATATATATGTGGGCAGGTACATGATGGTATATATATGTGGGCAGGTACATGTTGGGCAGGTACATGATGGTATATATATGTGGGCAGGTACATGTTGGGCAGGTACATGATGGTATATATATGTGGGCAGGTACATGTTGATGGTATATATATGTGGGCAGGTACATGTTAGGTACAGGTATGATGGGCACATGTTGGGCAGGTACTGTGGGCAGGTACATGTTGGGCAGGTACATGATGGTATATATAATAGACAAGTCTTACTGTGGCCTTAGCCATGTTAATAATCCGTTCCACCTCACCCTTCTCCACCACATTTCATTCCCTTTCCCTTCAGCCTAATTTCTCTTCCTCCATTTCACTCCTCATTCTTCCCCTCCCCCATCATTCCCCCTTCCCTCCCCTCACTCCTCACTCCCCCTCATCCCGCCTCCAGCAACAGGTTCTTTGAGACAGAAAAATTCCTGCAAGATTTGCCGACGATTACATGAAAATTGCAATTCGTTCCACTTTTTTCCTTTCGCTTGAGGCCTGGGAAAACCATGAATACTTATGGCCTTAATTTGTGTCTCGTCTTCTTGTTGTGTGTCTTGTGGCCACCTGGTGATGGTAGAGCTCTCTTAGTGTGTGTCTGTGTGGCCACCTGGTGATGGTAGAGCTCTCTTGTTGTGTGGCACCTGGTGATGGTAGAGCTCTCTTGGTGTGTGTCTGTGTGGCCACCTGGTGATGGTAGAGCTCTCTTGGTGTGTGTCTGTGTGGCCACCTGGTGATGGTAGAGCTCTCTTGGTGTGTGTCTGTGTGGCCACCTGGTGATGGTAGAGCTCTCTTGGTGTGTGTCTGTGTGGCCACCTGGTGATGGTAGAGCTCTCTTGGTGTGTGTCTGTGTGGCCACCTGGTGATGGTAGAGCTCTCTGTGTGTCTGTGTGGCCACCTGGTGATGGTAGAGCTCTCTTGTTGTGTGTGGTGTGTGGCCACCTGGTGATGGTAGAGCTCTCTTGGTGTGTGTCTGTGTGGCCACCTGGTGATGGTAGAGCTCTCTTGTTGTGTCTGTGTGGCCACCTGGTGATGGTAGAGCTCTCTTGTTGTGTGTGTGTGGCCACCTGGTGATGGTAGAGCTCTCTTGTGTGTGTGTGTCTGTGTGGCCACCTGGTGATGGTAGAGCTCTCTTGTTGTGTGTCTGTGTGGCCACCTGGTGATGGTAGAGCTCTCTTGTTGTGTGGCCACCTGGTGATGGTAGAGCTCTCTTGTGTGTGTCTGTGTGGCCACCTGGTGATGGTAGAGCTCTCTTGGTGTGTGTGTGGCCACCTCTCTTGTTGTGTGTGTCTGTGTGGCCACCTGGTGATGGTAGAGCTCTCTTGGTGATGTGTCTGTGTGGCCACCTGGTGATGGTAGAGCTCTCCTGTGTGGCCACCTGGTGATGGTAGAGCTCTCTTGTTGTGTGTCTGTGTGGCCACCTGGTGATGGTAGAGCTCTCTGGCCACTTAGAGCTCTCTTGGTGTGTGTCTGTGTGGCCACCTGGTGATGGTAGAGCTCTCTTGTTGTGTGTCTGTGTGGCCACCTGGTGATGGTAGAGCTCTCTTGTTGTGTGTCTGTGTGGCCACCTGGTGATGG